AAAAAAAAAAAAAAAAAAAAAAAAGAGAGAGAGAAGCTACTAAGAGTTTTCATCACAAGAAGAACATTTTTTTCTTTCTTTTCTTTTTATGGTATCTATATGAGAAGACGGATGTTAGCTGAACCTATTGTGGTAATCATTTCACAATGCATGCAAATCAAACCACAATGCTGTACGCCTTCAACTTGTACAGTGCTGGATGTCAATTATTTCTCAATAAAACTGGGGGAAAAAAAAACATTGACGTGTACCCATCAGCCTCTGGATGACTGCAACAAGGAAAGTGCTTTAGAGATGAGGGAAGGAGAATAACCTGGAAACATCAGCGAGAAGCACAGAGGAACCTGTATCCTATCCCCAGTTCCAGTTCAAAGTGATAAGAGGAGGAAAAAAAAATCCCACCTCCTGTGTGAGCTGCAAGGGGAAGCAGGAACTTTAATTTATAGAGCACCAACTATCCATGGTTCAGAGCTCTGAGCTCACTGATGCCACTACATCCCTTTCCCACTCCCAGCAAGACAAGGGATGCTGCTGCCAGCAGCTCTGCCCAACTTGTGCTGTTCTCCTGACCTCAGTCACATCCTCTCCTCACCAAGAGGATGACAAGGGAGCTGAAAGTGGCTCCTGTGTATCGGAAAGAGAGGAAAACCCTGACAACAGGTGATGACTAATTTTTATTTCTCATAAACCAATGATTAGTACTAGCCTCTGAAAATAGTTAGAAATCTGCCATCTGAACAAGCCAATTTATGGCATATACTCACCGATCACTTTGAGGGTGAACTGGCTGTTATTTCTAACGCTTGGGGATTCAATTCCGTACACATCTTCGTCTGACGGTGTTAAGTTGTAGATTGTGAGGTTCCCCGACACGGTGTCTAAGCAAACTCTATCTTTAAAAGATAGAAAAGCTCTGACTTCAGATTCGTCATCCCATTCTACAACTTTATCCTTTCCTCTTTTCCACACAATCTCCTTAAAGGGTTTAAAACTTGATGTGTATAAAGTTACATTCTTGTTCACAGCTCCATATATTACTTGGGAATCACAGCTAATGAAATCTAGGAGAAAAAAAAAGAAATTGGTTAGGGAAAATAACACGACTTGATCAAAAGCAGAAAATTATCTTCCAAGATGCCTTGTGGGGGGAAAATGATTAAATTTAGTGGTACAATTATTCGTCAGCTACTTTTTGTACTAAGCTGATAAAAAGTATAGGAAGGAGAACACGCTTGACCCTGTAAGAGTCTATTCTTTAATAGGGAACTGGGGCCCACAGAAATCCAAGAAATGGATTCAACATTTATGGAGCACCAAACTATGTGCCAGGTACTGTGGGCAATGCTGGGAATATGGCTGCAAGCAAGACAGGTGTCACTCCAGGCCCTCAAGGGAGGAGACACTGAGCAGACAAGGAGAGCCACCCAGGCAAAGGCCTTTCCTAGGAAATCACGCTGAAACTGACACAGGACAGCAAACCGCCGGAAGATAAGAGGAGTCTGCAAGCTGACAGCCGGGTGAGGAGGGGAAGGAGAGATGGCCAAGCAGACAGAGGAAGCAGCCCCTCTGAAGAGGCAGGCCTTAAATCAGGAAGGCACTGGGTGTGTCTGAGGAAATAAAAGCAGTTCCAAAAGGCTCAAAGGAAAAAAGCAAGGGGGGAACGGGTGGGGAATGAGGCTGGAGAGGCAGGCAGGGGCCAGACCACAGGGTCTGTGAGTGAGGGGCTGGGCCATGTCTGGTAAGATATGCTAAGCGTTTGGAATTTATCCTAATGGCAAGGGAAGGTCACGGACAGGGAAGACCGGCATGACATAATTTAAGTTTCAGTAGGTTGACTTTGTCTGCAGGGTGGACACTGGTCAACAGGGTAAGGATGGAGGGCAGAGAAAACCCAGAAGAGCAGTCAGTGTGGGAGCAGTGAAAGAAGGCTGGACCGGGAGACCAGACCAGGGTGCCGGCGGTGGGGATGGATAAGTGGACAGACTCTACATTTGAGAGGGAAATGAACAGGATTTAGTGATTGGATGAGAGGAGTTAATGGTGACTGCCAGGCCTCTTTCCTGGCTGACTGAGGTGCCATTAACTGAAATCAGAATGACCAGGAAGGAAGTCAGGGAGTGTGATGAAGATTAAGGTCTCAAGGCCTGGGTGCGGTGGCGTGTTGGAACCAACTGTTAGCCTCTCTGCCGGACTCCGTTCAGGGAAGCCTGGAGAGCTTGGAGTGCACCACAGTGGGAGTATTTATAGCAGAGAAACTGACTCATGCTTCAAATCAGAACCTCCCACCTCCTCCACATCAATCCAGTTGTTAAACATTTACTATTACTACTAGATTGGGATATTCTTGATACCCCAAAATGGGCTTCAACGCATCGTGCTCCAGACTTGACTTTCTTCTTAAGAGAGAAGAGCAGCTGTTAGGGGAAAGACATAAAAGAGAAATTAAAACTTGATTGACTGAAGTTTTTGCCTAGAAGCAATCAGGGTAATTGACAGAGCACAGGAACAATCAAAAATATTAAGTAGACCAATTGCAGGCAACTGTATCCAGTAATTTCAAGTAAGAAGCAAATACGCCCCATTTGTCTATGTGCAAGGATTTTTAGAACCCACCTCCCTTAATCCAGGGAGGCTGCCTGCAATACACCAGCATCCTTCTGTGGCTTTCCTGACCATGCACTATTTCTCCCAATCAACCAGAGCCCATGAAAAGGCATGAAAAGGAATAAGATTTGAGGGGTGAGAGTCTATCCACACACAATAGTGGCGGCTCGAAATGTCTTGTAAATGAATAGATGAATGAACGGATGAGAGTAAGCAGGGTGGCGGAGGAAGAGAACAGGTCTCAGTTGATCTGCCCCTCCCTGGCTGCATAAAGCTGGCTTCTGTCCTTCCCAGGGAAAGGTGATGTTTCCTGGGCTTGAGAACAGGAAGAAGAAAAGTCTGGAATGGAGCTAACGGTGGAAAAAGGGGGAGACCAGTTCAGAAAAAATCATAGTCATTTTGAGCTGGAAGAAACTCCAACCATTAGTCAGTCAAATTATCCCCATTTCACAGGTGAAAGGACAGGGCACCAAGAAAAATGGAAGAAGATGTTACTGAATGCTTACCCTCTGCCAGTTACGTGTTCACGTACCTGTGTCCCTTTTTAACCCTCTCCACACCCCTGTGCAGTGGTGTTGACTGCTAACTCCATCTCTCAGGCCCCGGGAGACGTTATCAATTGCTCAAGGTCACTCAGCAAGTTTATGGTAGCTGAGGGACCAGAACAGACCTGACATGGCCCAGCCCCTCACTCACAGACCCTGTGGTCTGGCCCCTGCCTGCCTCTCCAGCCTCATTCCCCACCCGTTCCCCCCTTGCTCTCTTCTTTCGAGCCTTTTGCCACTGCTTGTATTTCCTCAGACACGCCAAGCGCCTTCCTGATTCAGGACCTGCCTCCTCAGAGGCGCTTATTCCTCTGTCTGCTTGGCCATCTCTCCTCCCCGTCTTCACCCAGACGTCAGCTGACTGACGGATGCTAAGCATAAGCGGCCTGTAAGACATCTGCGTGGAGCTGTCCAGGAGGCTGCAGGGTCCACAGGTCTGGGGGTTCCCAGGGGAAGATACAGATTTGGGATTCATTACATGTGTAGATGCTATGTCTACCATTTCCTTCCTATAGTAAAGTCTTTTCTGTTGCACCTCCAAGACTGAGCCTAAGGTAAGTTAAAAATATGACTGTTTCCAATGAAAAAGAATAGGAGAAAGGAGAGTGAATTTTTTTCTCAAGGTCACACACCCTGAACGAATGAAAGAATGAGCAAACAAACAGCAGCTAAGGAAAGGAGTCAGCAGTGAGTTGGTTACTTTGCTGATAACAGTGAATGGTCAGAAAAGGGACCACAGGGATGCTACCTTACCATGCCAGAGGGCAGAATGAAAAGCGCCCCGACTTTCAAGGCAGATGCGCCCAGGGTGAACCTTCAAAAGTTCTCGCCACACTAGGTTTCCTCAGCCTAAAAAACAAATCATAATGCCCACCACAAAAGATTGTTTTGATGTTTGAATAAGACTGAGAGTCTTTACACAACGGCTGAAACGAAGTAGGCTTTCAACAGGGTTTTCCCTCTTTTTCTTTCAATGATTCAGGCCACCATCAATGCATTCACTATAGGTGACCCTGGCTGTGTGAGAATTGGGCATGGAGTGAGTTTTTGCTGTTTCAAAGTAGAGAGAGATAGAGGTAGGGGGAAAATGTATCAGTGATTGCCTAAACAGATATTCTGTGCTAGACAGAATTTTTTTAACTGTTAGAGGTTTATTTGTTTGGAAGAATACTGAATGATCTTTTCTTTTGAAAGATATGAGGGTACCTAATACCTATATGTACTGTGTTCATTTCCAATTTCAAAGACTCTTGCAGTCTTACAAAACATCATCATTATACCCAGTTTGGTAGTTCTTCTCACAGGGCTTGAAGTCCGAAGTGGAACTCAAAATATTTTGCAGACAAAGTGACCTGATTTTTCATTTAGAAAATATGGTAACCCTAACTATTGGATTAATGAAATGGGACCTCCCCCAACTCCCAGACACAAATTCCTCTGCGCATTTTCACTTGAGTCCTGGGATTTTTTTTAAAACATTTATTTATTTATTTATTTGGCTGCACTGAGTCTTAGTTACAGCACACAGGATCTTTCATTGCGGTGTGCAGGCTCTTTGTTACAGCATGTGGGCTCTAGAGCACGCATGCAGGCTCAGTAGTTGCAGCACACAGGCTCTCTAGTTGTGGCATGCGGGCTCCAGAGTGCGCAGGCTCCGTAGTGGCAGCACGTGGGCTTTCTAGTTGTGGCGCACGGTCTCTAGAGCACGCAGGCTTAGTTGCCCCACGGCACGTGGGATCTTAGTTCCCCAACTGGAGATCGAACCCGCGTCCCCTGCGTTGGAAGGTGGATTCTTATCCACTGGACCACCAGGGAAGTCCCGGGTCCTGGGATTTAGATTGACTGCTATTTTTTGTTTATTTAATCAAACGCTTATATAGCACTTACTATCTACTAGGCAGTTGGAAGAACTCTACAAATGTGTATTCAGCAAATCCTCTCAAAAACCATATCAGGACTTCCCTGGAGGCACAGTGGTTAAGAATCTGCCTGCTAATGAAGGGGACACAGGTTCGAGACCTGGTCCGGGAAGATCCCACATGCTGCGAAGCAACTAAGCCCATGCACCACAACTACTGAGTCCGTGCTCTAGAGCCCGTGAGCCACAACTACTGAGCCCGCGTGCCACAACTACTGAAGACTGTGCTCCTAGAGGCCGTGCTCTGCAACAAGAGAAGCCACCACAATGAGAAGCCTGTGCACCACAACGAAGAGTAGCCCCCACTGGCTGCAACTAGAGAAAGCCTGCATGCAGCAACAAAGACACAACGCAGCCAAAAAATAAATAATAGATAGATAGATAGACAGAAAAAAAAAACTTAAAAAGAAAAACCATATTAAGCAGCTGTAATTTTTAACCCTATTTTGCAGATGAGGGAACTGTGACACACAAACGTTAACTGACTAGCTAATTAAGTAGTGAAACTGCTTTTGAACCCAGACAGTCTGACTTTTAACTATTGCTTCTTATTTGGCTAGCTATGTGGTATATGGCTATTAAAGTCAGTGACGTGATACAGGGTATGTTAGAATGCAATTTCTAGAACGTATGGGAATAGCAGATGTTGGGAATGAGAAAAGTCAAACCATTCTAGTCGGGAGTCAAGCACACCTCTGAAACCTAGAAGTGAAGCATAAGCTCAGTGGTCAACAAATCACTGAATGTCAGGGCTGGACAGGTCCTCAGAGGACCCTGGCCCGCCCCACACCCATCCTCATATACGTGAGGAAATTGAGAAGATCTGATTGAGCAAGATAGCGATGAACCCAAATCTCCAAAATGTTACGTGGGAACCCAAAGTTAAAACTAAGTTTCATAATGCTGTTCTTTTTTAAAAATAATTTCAGATGTTCAATGGAAAATGAGACAGGGTTTCATAATTAAAGATCAAGAGAAACTAAGTTGAAAGTAA